ACCCGGGCTAAAATCCACAAACCCCAAACATAGCACCTGAACCCCACAAAAGTCTATGGGAGATGAATCTTGTTATTTGTTAATTTTTCAAGGCCAGTTTGCAAGCTATTGTTAAAAATGGGCATGGGTAACTGGGATCTTGCATCTTACATAACATGGGCAACATGTACCAAAGCAAAAAAAAAAATTTAATGAGGAGCAGTTTTTCAAGACTTAAAGGGCATATTTAAAAATACACATTTCCTTAACATAACATGTTTGAGGGATACCTTAAACCTGCACGTGACGTGGAGCACCTGTTGGATGTACTTCTGCAAAAGTGACATTTAGAAAAACTATTGCCACTAAATTACATTTCCAGGTCCTACAAAAAATGGCAGCCACACCAACCTACAACTAGCCTTTACAGCAAGGTGCACATGGAAGGGTAACTCACAAACAAACAAAAGATTTCCCAGCACACTTACCAGCCTGCCTGCAAAACATCAAAATTCTCTGTCTAAAGGTTTACGTTAAAAACTGTGGGTTTTGTTTGCACACATTTGCAAATACATGCGTAAGTCGCACTTCCCACATCAAGAGACCTCTCTATATACTACTCCTAACTCTACAATGTTCAGAGCCTCCATAGTAGGAGCACATACTGTATATTAATAGATAGGTTTAGGGCACATGTGACTGGAGGGAGCCTACCCCTTCCTAAAGGTGATGTACATTTTCAGGTTGGCTTTATTCTGCTTGTAAATAAAGGCCAGGGGAACCCCTCAACATCCATACAAGGCCCTTATCCAGCTACAGAGCCAGTTGTTTTCCCGAATTAGCATTAACATGCTGTGTACTGGGGTAACTTAAAGATATTTCTTTCTTCCACTCTGCTCAACTGCTGGAAAGACACCTGCCTTGGAAATGTTGCTGCCAGAGATGGCAAAGCATTTGTAGGAAAATGCTGCTGAGTTTAAAATCTTTCTTTGACCCTCCTCAGTGTGGCCCCATGACCCACTTCCCCACTTGGCATTTCCTAAGCCTCTGAAACTCTTTGTGAGTCTTGCCTCCTTGACATTAAAGGCTGTAGCTGTTGGGGCATATGCAACAGGAGAATTTTGTTGTGGAGGGGTGTGACATGGAAGTGAGGAGGAGGAGGGTGAGTGCTGGCTTTTGGCTGCAAACTTGTCCCATTGAGGTGCTGCTTCCACCAAGCTCTGTGGTGCAGAGTCATGCAATTCCTAATGTGTGTGTTATCCCACTGGCTACTTTTGCCATGACTGATACAATGCAGGCAAAGGCTGCAGTCCAGAACAGTGCTGTTGGCAGCAGATATGGTAAACAAAACACACTGCAGAGCTCTGTTGACCAACCTTGGGGATAGAAATGGTCTTTACCTGTGGGAAAGTGTTGCCAGATAGATTGGATAGCTGCTGCCTCCAGTCCTCTGCAAAGCTGCCTCTGCATCTGCCCCTGGACAAAATATTTCCTCGCTGCTGTTCTGCATCTCCCTCAGAACTTTCAGGCTCTTTAATCGTTGGTCCTACAGATGATCTAACACCTCATCATTAACCTTCTACTCATCCCTGCAGTCCACACTGCAGTAAGCTTTATCTGTTAGAACATCACTGCCTCCTAATTCATACTGTCTGATGTCCCCCCATCCACCTGTGAGATCACGAGATCATGAGATCACATAACCCAGGAGAGTTGGAAAAGAGAAAAGGATGTGAATGGCTGGAGGGGGCCCAGATGGAGTTTGGCTCACCTGCATAAAGAGGACCTTGGAAGGCTGAAAACTTCACCGGCCCCCTGAGAGAGAACCACCTGTGTGGCAGGGAAGGAGCGGCCCAGCTAGAAGGCTTGTTAGAAGCCACCATCCCCCCGGCGCTAACACGGAGGGACCAAGTGAGTAAACCTGGCCCAGTAAGAGGAAAGGAGCACTCTAGTAGGAAACTGGATTTTCTATCTTATCGGGATCAATGACATAACTTTCCTAACCGGTTTGTTGACATTCAGCAGCAAGCTGAGGAAAATATAAATTGTGTGAAAAGTGCGACAGGAGAAGATCTTTGGCACAGGCCATCATGTTTTCTTTCAGTGGGTCAAAGGGTGACATTCATCATGATTAGTGAGGGCTCTACATTGCTGGAGGTAGTGACTGATGATAAATTCACACCGTGGGACTTTTTGTCAATGGTATCTCTGTGTTTACATTGTACATTGTTATTGTGAATTAGAAATAGGGGTACTAAGTATCCCTACTCATTCACATGGGGAGCAGGGTATCTGATGGCCCCCTAAATCTGAAGGGAGCTTTCCCATTCCAATAAGCCCCCCTACAGTCCTCCACATTCACCTGGCCCAGTTATAATCACCTTCATCATAGTCACCTGTAAGAAGCCAAGATCTAGGTTCAGAATAATAGTGGTAATAAACCCAAAACCAAAAATGTAATATAGTGCATCTTACCAATCATTAGATGTGGTGGCTGTATCAGTTTACTGTTCTTAGGCTTTCTTCCCTGGTGATCTGACCAGTAACACACCTGCATTACAGTGCTCCCACTCTGGATGAATGAGCACAGGGGGCACTTTTGGACAGCAGCATTGTCAATCTGAGGGGAGAAGAGTGTTAGATGTGCTAGCAGATTTAAATACACTAACTAATTGAAGCCAAATGTAAGTTCATGCTTTGATCAGTTACAGCAAACAGTTTTTTTTTCCTTTTGGGAGAAAGTTTTGCATAAATAAAAGCCGATCATTGGAAGCACCCTGCTAGTGATACATTCTGCTGGGAAGCCTATTTCTTTTGAAAAATAACAGCCATATTGGCTAGATCCCCAAATGAAAATAGAAGAAAAACTGCCTTAAAAGGAAATTAATGCAGACATCACATCTAAGAACTGGTAAGCTGCAATCTAATAAATGTTTGCTTTTGAGTTTAATACTGCTTAAACTTTGGCTGATTGGGTTTTCAGACAAATACCCAAACTTTAGCCTCTTCAGCCCACTGTTCGGCAGAAGCTGACGATCATATATAGACAGGGGCGTATTTACCACAAGGCAAACAAGGCATTTGCCTAGGGCAGCATTTTTCAGGGGGGCAGCATCTCCTCCCAGAAGAAGGGATAAATTCCAAAGTAGAAAGAGACTCAGTACAAGCATTTGTTTTGTGTCCCACCACAGCCTCACATCAAAATAATGTAGAGATGACTTTCCCATACATCTCTAAAGAGCCTGATGTGGCACCAGGCGGGCAGTGTTGTATGTCTGTTTTTCATCTGGAACAAGTCCTGCAGCAGGCGGCTGCAGGACTTGTTTCAGATGAAAAACAGACATAAAACACTGCCCAGCTTGGCAGAGGGCTTAGTAGTGGGAAGAGAGTCTATGCTGCATCTGTGGTCAGTATGGGGGAACACATATAGTATTTTTTTTATGCAAAATGTAACTTGTACTTTAATGAATATGTAAATCCAACATTGCATATTCATGAAATGTGCCTGCTGTACCATGTAATTGTATGAAAAAGTATCATGTTCTTTTTGTACTGCTTCCTTTGTGCTAAATCCCTGGTATCCCTGCCAGTCCCTCTGCTTTCCTACTAAAAACTGACCACACTAATCAGGAGAACACACTGTGATCAGTTCTCTAGCTATGCTGGGAACTCATTGTGCTCACCTCCAAGTGTTAAGACTCACTCTTCCTCCCCCGCACAGTCTTTCACTGGAAAGATCAGTGTGCTGCTGTTTCTCCTTCCCCAGCTCTTAAGCAGCTGAGAACAGAGGGAATGTGATCATCTATAAAAAGGGGGGAAAAGTGTTTATACTTTTTTTCATATCTATACACCAATGTTTGCCTTTCATTTCTATTTTAAACTGAATGGGTTGTTTTACAAAATGAGTGTTAACGTTAACCTGTGGCCAGGTTATGGACATTAAATTAATTACACATGCTAAACAAGAAAGATTTTTTTTGTTCAAAAAATCTATTTTATTTAATATAAAATATGTAAAAAAAACAGAGTATACCTCCCATCCAAGCTTACCCTGATTTCGAACTGCGTAGGTTGCCTAAGGGGAACCAATGGCAGAGTAAAAGTATAACCATGAGATTTGGGGAGAGTAGGCATGGGTTAACATCTATCACTACCCCTAGCTTTCAAAAATATAAAACTGCAGTGTTCAGGGCTCTGTAAACCCAGAATTCCAATCTTTAAAGTTTTTATGTTCACTTATTACCACTGGGGTAGCAATTGGGGTTTGCATAGCGTGCACACAAGTTTGCTTGAACTCTGATTGACCACAGATCTTTTTGGGCTTTTATATCAAACCTTTACTGTTTCTTTGTTAATATGTACATTTTCTTAATTTCTAGCTAGAACAGCTTGAAAAATGAAAAAGCGTATCTTCTGGACCCTAAATGTTGCTGTGCTTTTATTCACGATTCTGAGTTTGTTCTATATTTACAATACCCCAATGGATGCCCGTATGGTTATAGACATTGTGAAAAAATACAAACAGTTTTCCAGAAGAAGGAAATGCTTGCTGAGAAGTCATTAATTGTAGAAAATAAAAGTCATTCGTCTGGTATATGGACTATCAATGCTATTGGGCGCCTAGGTAATCTTATGGGGCAGTATGCTACCCTTTATGCCCTTGCCAAGATGAATGGCCACAAACCCTACATCTTGCCAGAAATGCACAAAGCACTGTCAAAAATCTTCAAGATAAGATTGAAAGTTATTCCATATGGAGTAGCTCCCAAAATTAAATGGAGGCATTATAGTCTTCATGACTGGATGTGTGAAGAGTACAGACATATAGAAGGGGAATATCTTTATCTTGGTGGTTACCCCAATTCTTTTACATTTTATCACCACATAAAGAATGAGATTCTACAAGAATTTTACATTCCATGACTTCCTCGTAGAAGAGTCTTATGCCTATCTGAACAAAATCAGTTCAAACAAGAGAAACGTCACCTTTGTAGGGGTTCATGTCCGTCGTGGAGATTATCTCTATGTCATGCCAAATATATGGAAAGGGGTGGTAGCTCATAAAGAATATTTGAAAAATGCCATGGACTATTTCAGAAACAAATATGAAAATCCATTGTTCATCGTAACCAGTAATGGAATGGATTGGTGTGAAGAAAATGTTAATAATTCACTAGGAGATGTCTACTTTGCTGGAGATAGTCAAATAGATTCCCCAGGTCGAGACTTTGCCCTCCTGGCACATTGTAACCACACCATCATGACTATAGGAACCTTTGGTGTTTGGGTTGGCTACTTGGTAGGTGGTGAAACGATCTATTTAACAAACTACACACTGCCCGACTCTCCTTTCCTTCAAGTTTTTAAATATGAAGCTACCTTTCTCCCAGAATGGATGGGACTTCCTGCAGACCTCTCTCCACTTTTAGTTACACAGAATCCTTAACTCAATGCCCCCGTGCTCCTGTATTTGACTAAGAGTAATACTTCTCCTGTGATCACTATATTATTCATATGATACAAAACAGGGGTCATATTTACTATAATATCACTTGTGAAGCTGCTACAATAATTTGTTTAAAGGTCATTTTTATTATTTTACCACTTCCATGGCCCCTAAGGTAAAAGCCAATTTACGTTTCATCCAGATTTACCAATAAAATGTTTTGTTTCTTTTACACAATTTTGTTTAGAGAATGAAAGGGAACACCTGGGTAGTTGTGAAAAACTAAACTTTTATTGTAGTTTTTATATCCAAATTTGCTGATATCATATTTCATAATGCCAAGTGTACATTACAGTATGCATTTATTAATGAACTGTCAGGTATTCCAAGCGCAGTAAGAGCCATCCATGTAGTGATTAGAAAGGTATATAAGACATAAATCCAAGTATCTCAAAAGAATCAGCGCTGTGAGAGTGAATGAGTATAAACCTCGCTTGGAGGTGTAGCTTTATTGTATTAAAATGATCCCAATATGTGAGGTAGCCTGGGCAAGGTAGAGGACCCGTTCGCTCCTTCGATGTAACGATGTAGGGCAAAGAGAGCTCCTGTGCCCTGGTGGTGAAACACGAGACTTGATAAGGCTTGCAAAATGTTTTGTCTAGGTTACCGACCCTAGCCACCGGCTTGCGTTCCAAGGCATGATCCTCCCTTCTGCTTCCACCGAGATCGCGATGACGTCAGTTCTGGGACGTCACGATCTCGTGTTTCACCACCAGGGCACAGGAGCTCTCTCTCCCCTACAAAGGAGGTTTATACTCATTCACTCTCACAGCGCTGATTCTTTTGAGATACATACATTTATTAATAATGAACCTTCAGGCTTTGCTTCCTGCTGGTCATTACTTACTACTGCAGCTTAGGTCATGCTACTGTGAACACCTGCTCCAATTAAGAGTGCTTAAAGCGGAACATCACCTAAAAGGGGAAGTTCCACATTTCCACCTCCTCCTCCCCTCCTCGAACACTTTTGGATTTTTTGGGGGTGCGAGTACCTTGTTTTGACATATATCCTCTCCCACTTCCGCTTTGGCAATATGAGCAGAAGTTCAGCTCCTCACGCCACAGGTTCCAGAAAGCTGCAGGATCATTCACAAAGCACAACATGGTAATCATTTTGTTGAGGTCCTTGTTGAGGCACAAAGCTCAGTCCCTGTCTCCTGATTGTGCCCCTGCATTGTAATGAAGGTTTCCAAAGGGGACTACAAGTGACTGATTCAACACATATTAAACAGACATGGTCATGGCTTTTGTCACATAAAACAAAAAAAAACATTCAGAGAAATGCTATGAAGGCTGCAGGAAATCGGCAGAACTGAGATGCAACAAAGGACTGCAAAAAAAAAGGTGAAAACAAGAAATTGTAATAAACACAGTGGGGGCCATTGATCAACGCTGTCTTGTGGTTTGCAGTTTCTTTTTTTATTGCAAGTTTGGGACAGATTTAATTCCTTTTGTAGCACTCCCCCTATAGAGCTGCTGATGACCGTAGCACTATTCACCTAGTTAAAGCACGCACAGCTAGGCACACAGCATTTTCTTCACCCTTCCGCTGGCTCAAAAGAACAGTTTAGGGGTATCTTTTTTAAAGTTTTATTTAAAAATGTAACTTGAATGGGGATGAGGGGATCATTGTATACCCCAAAACTGATTAACTGAATAATTTAAGGACTCTTGTCTAGCTTGCTGGATTGTAAACAAATGTCCCATAAATCTCCAATGCTAATAGCAACAATGACTTCTCTCAGAGAAAACAAAGCTACAGGCAGTCTCTAGACCTCCAGCACACAGGATCATCGGCTGCCTCCTTCCAATATCCACTAGAATCTTCATGAGGGAGATGCAGACTCACACCACCATAGGACAGTTGGACACTTCTTCCTCCAACTTCACCCTGGCTCTCTCCAGTGAGCTTTCTCCTGACCTAAATGGATTCCAAGACTAAACTTGCAAATTGGCCCCCACTCTTAAGCCTAGCTGGAACCTCAATTTGTTCTTGGTCTCCTCTCTAGAACTCCTGTCCTGTGCTGTGCAGAGCAATACAAAGCAGCATGTTCGTGCTGACAGGGGAGAGATCTGTGTTGTTTACACACAGACCTCTTGCCTGTCAGATCCGCTGACGATCACCGAGTCCTGGTCGAAAATCGGCACCCAGGACCTGGTGATTGGCATGCCAAGGAGCGCGTGAGTGCACCCCCTACCCAAAAATGCAAATCACATATATATATATATATATATAAATGATTTTGTGCATCCCTGCCGCCCTGTAGCAGTACTTCTACTGTAGGGTGATTGGGAAGCGGGCTTACCTGTAGCTAAAAGATTCAAAATTGGGTTTACTTCCACTTTAATAGAATTCACCCTAATCCAAGTGGGGATGATTTTTGTAAGTGTGTTTTACAAAAAAAACCCAAATGGAGCTATAGCCACAATCCCCCAGGGTCTGAATGATCAACTTAGATTTCTTTCTATGTTATAGTCAGTTAAATTTGGTCTCTTTCTCCACCTCCTTTATTTATTTACTTTTTCCTTTTCCTCCCCTTTCCCTTTCTTTCTTCTAGCTGGTCTTATAATTATACTGGTGATGCACTATAAATAAAGTCCTATAAGGTAGTTCTTTGTTTTTTTTTTACTAAAACACACATGTGAGAATTAAATTGTGAGTCCCTGTAGTTTCAATTGTTTTCTTGTTTACCCATATGTAGAACAGTTTGTGATGCTATTATGGGTTTTTTTCATATTCTCAGAGTTTTGTGTATGTTAATTTTTATGTCATAGGGTTATATCAGAGTTGGTATAAAAACAAACAATATCTGCACTAGGTCAAATTAAATTTTGCACAAATCAAGCAGCCACTGGACAACTGTGATACCAGCTGAAACTTCAACAGACAAAAAAGACAGCAGCTCTAAAGTGACCTTATAAAAAACCTGTGTAAGAATTTAATGGGCTGCATAAAAATTAATATGTAAATATTGTCAGGTTGGTTATGTTCTGTGGGTCTATTTTTCACCCTTTTCCTTCCCAGTATTCATTACTTTTTTTCCTGTTAAGCCCTCACCTGTACTACCATGACCCTTTCTTACTGATTCTGACCCTCACCAATACTCCCATGACACGTTCTTGTCTCTCATAACCATTTGCCTCACTAGTACTGCCCCCATTAGACCACAACTCTGACCCCTCATTATTTCTGTTTTTTAATATCTGATAAAGGTTGATTTTTTTGGTAGGCAATATAAATATGGGTCTTTGTGCGGTTTAATGGAAAGAGTAGCAGCTATGCAAACACACGGTCACACATTTTAAACACCAATGCAGTGAAATAATTTTTGGGCAAGAAAGTCTAGATGCCCATAAAACAGGGCATGGTGGCATTTGGTTACAAGTAGTTGGACTGTGGTCGCACTGAGATGGGAAATCAATCCCCTTTGTAAGTTAAAAAAAAAAAAAACAATTCATCAACATACTTACTTTCAGAGCAGCTTGCAAATAAATACACCCAATGGTTCTTTAAGGCTTTAAATCAGTATTGCTACAGTGTTGGAAACAGAAGGTTTTATAAAAAAAATAAACGTTGCTTTCTCCAATTTGTTTTAGGACATGTATGAAACTTACACCAAGGTATACCTCACTATAGGTCAGGGTCCTTAGCTTTCTTTGGCTCTGTGCCAAAGGCATCCTAATTGACGGATTGTACATTGTTAGTGCTTCTTTTCAGGTTCAAATCCAAGTTGTGGTTGAGTGTTTAGTTTCTACTTCTCAAAGGGCTCTATTTTGTGAAAGGTGTCACTAGAAACTATGTTGTGGTTCAGTAGTTAAAGCAGCAAATGTGTCCCCAAAAAATTGAATTGGAGCATTTAAGATCAGACAGGCATAGGGCAGATTGGGTGCACTATAAATTAATTACTCTTAGTGATAGAGGCAGCGGAAAGTCAGAGTATGTCAGGACGATAGACAGGGAGGGATCATCATAGTTTTGGGAAGGGTTCATGACAGATAAGAATTGGGGTATCCATCTGATATAGAACATCTGATGAATTAATAGGATGGTGGGAGAAAAGGTCAGGGTTGTGGTCAGATGGGAAAATGTAATGTAAGCACTAGTGAAGGAAAGGGTCATGATTAGGGGCGGACTGACCATTTGGAAACTCGGGCACTGCCCGAGGGCCCAGGGTCAGTAGGGGGCCCAATGAGATGGCCCTGGTACCTTTTTCATAGGTTTTTTGAGTTTGGACAAGGACACAAGGGCCCCATGATCCCCTATTGCCCGAGGGCCCCATGAGTTGGAAGTCCACCCCTGGTCATGACAGTCAGGGAAGAATTAGTGGGTTGGTTGATTGTTAAGGGTTATCAAATGAAAGAAAGGAAAAAATGAAAAATGGGGATAGGTCATGGGAGTACTATCAAAGGGTGACATGAAAGAGATGTAAGGATCATTAGAGTGTTGGTGAGGGTCATGAAAGATGGAGGAAGTATATGGACATGACAGGTGGATAGGAGAATGGCCATAGAAAGAGTATTGGTGAGGATGGCATGGCTGTGAAGGGGTCGAGGATGCAAGTGACGCTGGCCATACATTGTTTTTTTCCCAGCAGGCTGGGTAAAAAAAAAAAAATAGAAGATTCCTCTATCCTTACTAGTGATGGGCTACACACTCCCATGTTCGGTTCACAGCTGAACATTCAAACCTAACAAAAGTTCAACCATGAACTTCGAACCAGGATAATTCACTAAGCAGTATCTTACCCAATCTGTGTATGCGGTAAGATACCGCACAGCTACTAAAATACTGCATGAGTTATATTAGCAGTATTTATGCAGTATTTTAGTAGTGAAAACATTCTTTAATGTTTCAGCTGTCAACGGGGTTCCCCGCT